AATTGTGTTAATCAAGGACATCTTTAGTTCGCTTAGGGGAGAAGAAGACTGTCTGAGCACCATAAGTATTTGCTTACTGCTTAGCGCGATTGTATTTACCCTTCTCTCCCTTGCGGATCAGATATGTTGGAGAGCTTTGGCTGTTGGATAACGACAAGGATTGATTTTTACCTCCTATCTTCCTTCTTGCCTATTTTAAAGTTACACCGAAGAGCAGGCACTTGCTCTCCTCACTTGGCACAAGTTCGATCTCCAGCGAGCCGCTGCTGACTTCCACAATTTCAGTCCCCGGAAGTACGACTGGACACACAAAGAGCGTCGCATCTTCTTCGCAGCCCTCGACTTCTACTGCAAACAGTTCCACAAAGTGAAAAAGCTGGTAGGTCGCCTTTCCCCCCTCCCTCTTCCTCGTCTTCCCTCCTCCTACTGGTTTACCGAACCTTTTTCCCCCCTCTCTCGTCCACGGCCCACAATAGTTTCCAAAGCGGACCACCTGTGAACTCGTGCTCTTCTATTACCTCAACAAACGCAACCAGCAGACGCTCTACGAACTCACCTTGCATGGGCCGCAGTGGGCTGCCCTGCATGCCGCTGGCTTCCTGGATGCCGGCTCTTCTCTGCAATCTATTGAAGAACAGTTGACCCTGTCCGACCTGCGGGAACCTGCAAGCGAGGTAACTGTCCCCTCTTGCTTTCCTGTCTTTGTGGAACCCTCCCTAATCGCAATCCCCAGTCTTAATGATATCGCATTATCTCTCAGACCTGAATACTTAATTCTGCCGCCCCCTCCCCTCTCCCACGTCATATACAGCGCTTTCTGTCATGCCTGATTTATCTTGGCGTGATACTTCTGCGACCGTATTTGCTTTAACCAGCCATAATAATGTGCCGTTTGATACCCTTCCATGTGCGTTGCGATCGATGACAATGGGGTGCCCATCCTCACGGTAAATCAGCGCAACCCTGATTATAGTAGATCTGGCGTGCCTGGATCTATTACGACGTGCTAAGAGTCGTGGCTTGCCAACTGACAAGATAAATCGGTCCTTCTGTCAGGCTGTAGAATCAGGCTGTACCGGCTGGGACCTT